CTGCTTTGTCCTCGATAAATCACTGTCGCTAATGCAGCCCGGCTGTTTTTTGAGTGTATTTAAACAACCTGAATGGTGAGCGCTGTTGTGGGGAAAGAGATATAGATGTAGCCAGACGCTGTCTTAAAGGCTGCTGCTGATTCGTCTTCTCTGAAACGGGGCTGATAGCAATCTCCACGTGCTTTCCAAAAGCAGCAAACAGATAACGGCTGAAAAAGCTCTGGGAGGAAGAACACAACAGTTAAACATTTGTTTTGAGGCTGAGAGTTAGATGAAAAGATTGATACCACTCTCATATCTCTCCTTTAAATATAAAGCTACATCGGGAGATGGTTAGCTTAGCTTAGCTTAGCTTAGTTTAGCTTAGCTTATCTTAGTGTAGCATAGCATAGCGGTGGACATCAGCTATGGGAAAGCTAGTGACAGCTAGCTTGTTTCTACACTAAGGTTTTTTTATGGATTGAACATATTAGATATTCCAGGCTTTAGCTTTATAATTACACACAGATTACCCAATTAATTACCCAAACGTCTGCTTGGATTTAAGGATGAACAGATTAGATCCACTCTCTAAGCTGCAAATAACATGACTGACATTGTTTTTCACTACCTCTGTCTCCAGGGTGAGCCAGGGGCCCCGGGCCAGAGGGGTTCTCCAGGGGAAAGAGGTAGACCTGGACCCCCTGGTGGTGGAGGTTACCACTCCAAGGATGCCCAGCCCATGATTGGCCCAGCTGGACCCAGAGGGGAGAGGGGAAGCCCAGGCACAGCGGGCCCCCAGGGGCTCCCTGGAACACCCGGGTCACCAGGAAATGATGTGAGTAGTCTCATTACACTTTCAGCACTGTAGCTGTTGCTTTAACTTTTAATCAGCTCCAAATCATACAATGCCCAGCTTGGTTATGAGAAGAGGTGATGACACAGTATCTTGACCAAAGGCTCTCACAAGCTCCATCTGCTCATCTAAATAATGAATTTCAGCTTGACTGTTTTCTGATGCTTTGGTTTTTTGTTTCTCTATTCTTTAACAGGCTGTGGTCAACTATGATGAAGTCAAGAACTTCATCCGCCAGCAGGTCATCAAGATCTTTGACGGTGAGGACATGTGCCAATCTCTCAAAATGCACGTTGTTGTGTGAATGTTTACTGTGTACTATAATAACGCTGTAGTTTCTAGACCAAAGCAACATTTTCTCCTTAGATACATATCTCTGATTTAAAGCATTATTCCATTTCTCCTCTGGGATTCTGGGACACCTCTGCTCTTCCCGCCGTTGTGGAACCATTGTTTGTTATTGCATGTTTTCTCTCCCCAGAGAGAATGGCCTACTACATGTCTCGCATGCAGATGCCAGTAGAGATGGTGGCATCCCCAGGTCGGCCCGGGCCCCCAGGGAAAGACGGAACGCCAGGTAATCCCGGAGCCCCAGGTGCACCTGGAATGCCGGGACAGATTGGAAGACAAGGCCGACCAGGAGGCCCAGGACCTGCAGGTGAGCCCCCTCAGTTAGAGCAATCGTCTTTCAAGCCATGATAGTGCGTTATCACTTCCTAACTGTCATGTGATCAAAATGTGTGACTCTTTATCTGTAGGACCACGAGGACCATCTGGAGAAAAGGGAGATAAGGGTGTTGGAGAGATGGGAGATATAGGACCTCCAGGAGCACCAGGTACTGTACCCCACTAGTCCACGGACTGGTCCATGAGCGAGTGCCATAGTTAGCAATAGTTAGCAACTTCTGCCACATTTCTCCATGTGAATTGACAAAAACAGTTTTTGTTTATATGTTGAAAGATTCTAATTATAATTTCAGTTACAGTGTCACATTTTGTTGACGCACTTCAATCTACAACTCTTCCACTTGTTTCATTCAAAGTGCTTTATGCACAAACCCAAGCTACACCTGATGCTAAACCCATCTGGCAGAATTGGCTAACTCTCCATAAATTATGCTAATTGCTTAAAATGTTTGCATTTATTGTTGATTTGTAAATTACCAGCTTGATGAAAGTAATGTTTCATCATTCTTAAATTGTCTTAATTAAAATGATCAGGCTAATTCATACCACCCAAATCAACATTTGAGAATCCTTAATCATCATGGAGTTTAGATAGCTTTGGCTAATTTAGCAAATTAGCATCTGCAGTCATTTTACATGGAGTTGTATTTATTCTGGGTTGTCAAGTAGTTTTGTGTTGTGCTCACACCCGGTGATCGAAATAGGATTTTAATGTTGGTTTGATGTTTTCACCGTGTTCCCCTCAGAATGTGTTACGGTAGTATTACGTCTGTTAGAGGTGATTTACTTATTGGTGTGTACTGGACATGTCTTCTGCAGTGTCCTCCATCCTGCTGCAGTATCCAGTGGAAACACTTCACTCACAGAAGCCGTATTATACAGACACAAAAATAAACCTTCAAAGGAATAGTTGGACAAACACTGTTATTTGCTTTTTGCTAAGAGTTAGATATGGATGGATGCCACTCTGTACAGTAAATATGAAGCTACAGCCAGCAGCTTGTTAGAGTAGCTTAGCACAAAGACAGGGAGTAGCAGCTAGCCTGGCTCCAAAAGTAAAACATCTGACTACCGATAATAACACACTGTGCCTTGTTTGTTTACATACAGAACCAAAGCATAACAATATGTGGTGTTGTGGTTTTATGAGAAGCCAAGCTAGCTGTTTCTACCTGTGAGCTAAGCCAAGCTGCTGCTGGCTGTAGCTTCATATTTAATGTATGTACAGAAAGGCATCACAGTGGTATCAATCTTATCTAATTGTTGGCACGAAAACAAACAACCGTAATTACCAAAATGTTAAACTATTCCTTTAACTTTTACCTTTAAATATGTTGGTTTATCTTTTTAAGCACCAGGGCAGTGATAATACCAGAATCATTACATTTCCTTTATTTCCAGGTGTCCCAGGTCCCCAAGGCTATGGTAAGATGGGACCCCCAGGTCCTGTTGGCCAGCAGGGTGTTCCTGGGATCCCAGGCCCTCCTGGACAGCCTGGTTCAAAGGGACATGATGGGCGGTGTAATCCTGCAGACTGTATGAGCCATCAAGTAGAATACAGCCCCAAGGGCCCACCTATCAAGGGCCCCTGGTAGAGGGCTAGAGGTGATTGATGCAGAGGGGACTGAAGCAAAGAGACTACAGAGAGGATATGAAGCCAAAGACCATGACCCAAAGTTATTAAATCTGACCACAAAAGAAAAGAGCACAAAAAAGGAGCTCTTTTGTTGTTGAATTGTGTAGATTTACCCATACAGATCTCTACTGTAGATGTGAGCAAAAATCCACAATTTCTTTCTAAGGGCCCCGCTAGAATGAGGCTTGCAAAGACGCACCAGCAGCACATTTTTATTGCATCATTCTTTTTTCCTTATGAATGCCAATTCATTGTTATATTACTGCCGCTTATTTCCCCCTGTGTTTCACTCCTTTTGTACATTTCCAAACAACCCAGGGGAGGTGACAAGAATCACAACCTGTATTTTCTCTCTCCTTGATTAATTCTGGCCTCTTCCGTTTTTTTTTTTTCATTTCCTTTGCTTAAATCTGTAGGAAGAGAATACACACAATTATTGTAGCACTTTGCTTCCACCTCTCATATCTCTTCTTCTTTCACACAGAATCACATTCAGAGCGCATCCCATGCATTTCTAATATTCTGTCTCAGTGCTTATGGTGTGATACATATTTGGATTTGACTTGTAAGAGAATATCCTGAGAAATGTATTTCACTTCTGTAGAAACAGATCAAAAGTCAAAAACTCGCATTGCCCTCTTTGATGGATTGACTGTTATGTATATATTTATATTTATATATATATATAGTGGCTTTTTCTACTTTTTCAATGGATCTGATAAAAGACATACACATGGCCAGCCACTTATTTTTCATTGTCAGTGGATATACAGCAACGGAAAAATGCCAAAGGGATATTTTTCTATAAGCTTTCAAAATGGAATAATGTGTTCAGCTAAAGACAAATTATTTATAGAAGAAAATTGCATTTACACAAGAAAGCATATTGGCTTTTGTAATTATGTTGCTAAAGATCATTTTGTGTCATTTTAACTCCGGTCTTTTTGGAACTACAGCCATTTTAAAGCATCTCATCTCATTTTGTATTCCAAAGTAGCAGTAACAGCCATCTGTCTGCTTCACTAGGCTCTTGTTTGAGAAAATATGAGCAATAATTCATCCCATTCACCGCAGGTACTGTAATGCAACACACTGAGCATGGCCACCAAGCCCCTCACGATCACTTAAAGTAAGATAAAGAAAATATTCTGAAAAGCATTTTGTTACTTTTTACTGTATTTTGGGGTTGCTATCTGTTGTTTTTAATCATTTTTTATATCTGAAAGTCTATGGAGTTTTAAATCACTGCCATCTCTTACCATCTCCGTTGTTCAGTCGGCAGTTTTGAGCCGTGGTCAGACTTTTGTTTCTCACAAGTTTATCTATGGGAAATGTTCAACTTAAAAACTGAATTAAACTGCTTTTCAAAGAGGTTGTATCACGTGGTTATCATTGTCACCCTGTCTTGTATCAAACATTCCAATACTGATACCCACCTCTCCTACAGAGGCGCTGACCCAGACTGGTTGCAGTTGTTTTTGTATTTCTGTGTAGATATTTTGCGTCTCTTTTTAGTTGTTTTATGTATCTTTGTTGTCACTTTGTGTCTGTGTTCATTCTGACCCCTTGGGCCCCTGAGCCTGTGCCCAGTAGGCCCGTTCAACAAACCATCTGTGTGCCCACCATCTCTTCTATCCATATGTACTGATTATATGGGTTTTACATATGTTGTATTATAAAACAGCTGACAAAAAGGCAGAAATATACAACTGTGATTGTTTTTCATTGCCAAGAAACACATCGTGCAATTGAACAATTACACTAATAGTCTAACACAGTCTTGTGGTATGGCGGGAACCATTGGCCTTGGTAGTACAATAATGTTGACAAAAGCTGAGCATCTGCAGCTTTGGAAATGTGGGAGTTTATTTACATGCATGAATTGATGCTGTTGAAGATTTAGAAGAATAGGAGAAGAGAAAAGAAAAGGAAAAGGAAAGAGGTGAGCCAAGCTGAAGAGACTCATTTCCATTCCCCCACATGATACAGAAGAACATTACATTTTACAAAAGGTTCCTCTTTATTTGGTTTGGGTTGACCTGCACAGCCAGAGATAAAACCCTCTTTACAGATGATTATATAAAGAACAATAAATAATTTCTGTAGATGAAAATAAATCAGTCATTAAATCGCTGACACCCTGTGGAAAGTTGACAGTGGCATAGGAAGCACATTCGGACTGATTCGTTTTGAGAAAAAGTCGTTATATCTGTAGGAACTTTTTATTACTCACTGAATTCATTAACACAGGATTTTTGTTGGTGCATATCGTAACCCATTTCTTTTTCTCTACATAATAATCAACACACATTTACAAAGATTTACAGCACTGCATTGTGGGAGATGGGAGTGCCCATCGGGATATGCTGTTGCCAGGCAACAAGAGGAAGAGATAAAGCTAGTCGTTAGTTTCTAAAATGAGACTTGGGTAGAAAGCGGGGAACGGGAGGGAGGGCAAGGAAGGGGGGCAATGTACACATGAGGTAAATTGGGGATTTCACTCAAGATTACAGATGGAAAAAAAAAACTACATTTTACAATACAGTACAGGACTGAGAGTAAATTTAGGCTTCAATCATTTATTGGTCCTTTTTGTACACTTTTAAGGCATCAGGTAGGATGTCTCAAGAGAGGCAGGGCTTAAAAAAAGAACTTTGTCTCAAACAAAATATTGCATATGTAAAACCATTTAAAGTGACCATGGTGTAATTAAAGAAAAAGCACCTTTCACCACACTTGGTTTTCAGCTCCTCTCATAGATACTGTGGTGGTGGGAGACAGGGAGACGCAATGTAAATCTGTTCCTCTTCCACTGCTGGAACAGGGCTGGGATATTTGGATGGGACTGACACTGACATCATCCAAAAACACTAGAGAATTCAGGAGGACGTGGGTGGCTGTGAGCTGCTGTTGTCATGGTGATGTGGGGGGGAATAAGATCAAGAGTATATCCCACAAGTCAAAACTTCAGGTTGTCAGTTTCAGGAGGGGGCGCTATATACACCCAGTCACTATTATTGTCCCCCACCCCTCATTCTTGATGTTGTCCTACTGAGAAGAGTTGTCTCCTTCTCTCTTCTTCTCTCTCTCTCTCTCTCTCTCCCGCTCTCTCCCAGTTGTTGTCGTGGAGAAACGGCTCTCTAAACATTGGGTCCTTTAATTCTTCCCGCCTCCTGTAGTCTTGGGGAGGTGTACGCTGACGCAGCGAGACACATGGCCGCCTCGCAAAAGCCTGGGAGGCCTGCCGACCCTGCCTTACCGGGGTAACCGGCCTCTCCGGGGGATCCCTGAGGTCCTCTCTCGCCGTGCCTGCCGTCCCGAGCCACACCGTCGACACCAGGAGGACCTATGGGGGGCGGGGAGAATTTTCAACATCAAGAAGAGATTTTAACTGATTTCCAGGGGTCAGGAGGACTAACTACACTGAAGTCCATGTTGAGAAGATTTCTCTGAAGCCCGCTCTGGACTGGTGCACAGGGGCGTCTGTTTTCCACAGTCTGAATTAGAGTGTACTGTTGCAATCCTATTACATTCTCATTCAAGAGCATCTGTTAAATGACTGGAGTTAATGATGCTTTTAAAATGCCTTTGAGCAGCCTCTCCTGTGGCAAGAGCTGTAAGTCCTTCAGTTTCTTATTGAACCCTTACTCTTCGTAACCTTTGGTGAGTATTACTTACAGCTTTACATTCCATGGATGTGCGTCAAGCTTGGGAGGCTTCAACTCTTACCTGGTATTCCCGGGGGTCCTGGTGGTCCTGGATGGGGTTTACCGGGATCTCCTCTATCTCCCTTTGGCCCTCTCTTTCCTAGTGAAGACAAAAGAGAACGGGCTCAGATTGACCCTGAAAAGCTGTTTTTATCTGTGAATTCATCATATGTAAATACTCTACTGCATATTTCTACCTTTAAGTCCTGTGTTTCCAATCTGTCCAGGTGCTCCAATAATGCCAGGAATACCGCGGGCACCAGGTAAGCCATGTGGCCCCTGAGGACCAGGTGAACCCGGAGGTCCAGGAGGCCCGGGAGGACCCATTACACCTGCCCCACCAAGCACAGCCCTCTTGGCGCTCACCGCCACCGCTGCCAGCCTCTCTGTGAAAGGAGAGACAGCATCATCATTTTGATTAAAGTACCTTTGATGATGGGCAACTGATTGCTCCGGAGATGAAAGTAGGGAAATGAGCTAATCTAATCTCCCCTATGAACATCAAAGGTGAATATTCAGGCTCACCCTGCAACATCTTCAGTACCACTTCAACAATATGCTGGTCAGATGCATCGCGTCCCTGGAGAGAAGAAGAGGAGACTGAGCATCACGGAGAGACAGCAACCCGGCCGAGTGCATCAATCAATACGCTCCATGCATCATAAATGTGATCGAGAGTGACTTACCGCTGATCCCTGAATGCCTGGCATGCCGGGAACTCCTCGCTCTCCGTTGAGTCCCCTAGGACCGGGCAGTCCTGGTGGTCCTGGGTCTCCAGGTTTACCGGGGTCTCCAGTGGGTCCATTGTGCCCGGTGTCACCCCTAATTCCTTGCTGTGAAAAGAGAGGAGCATTAAGGGAGAGTGAATATATGGATACTAAAACAAAACAGTGATCAGATTTCAACACGGCACCACCTCACCTGTCCTTTGGGCCCGGGTTCACCAGACAAACCCTGTCAGAACAAACACAGAGACTTTGTCATTTTCACATTCATCACTTCCATCCATCATTTCTGCCTCAGAGACACTCATTGAGCAGTAATTCCAGGATGAATCTTGTAAAATGAATGTCTAAAAAACGCTTCCTCAAAGAGCCAACGTGCATCATTGCTTCACTGTCATGTAAATAGCTCATTTGCCATCTGGATTATTATGGGGATTTGTATGCAAATTCAAAAGCAGACTTCCTCTTCTTCTTAACTTCCGTATGGTTATGACATTTACTACCATATATCACTTTGCTTTGATGCCTTCAGAGCCAACTGTTTAAACCTTCTTATCTAAAGCCTAGATTCAGAGACTTTTAAAAAACTTTGAAACAGGTTGTGCAAGTAGCTGTGATTTACCTTTTCACCTTTCTCGCCAGCCAATCCCTCAACACCGGGGTCACCCTAAAAGTGACAGAGAGAAAAAGATCAAGGGGGGGGAGTGAGACGGATGACCATAGCGAATATAAAACATATAACCAGTTTCTGACAATCCAGTTTAAAAGAGCAAAATGCTACTCACGATGTCTCCCTTTGAGCCAACTTTTCCTTGGAAGCCCTGGAAAAGAAAGATGGGTTGAGTACATGTAAATGTGGTCAAATTTAGATTATAATATTTAAAAAAAAAACACAAGAACTAAATATTGATTCAAGCCAGTGACACCGCATATCACAAAGTAAGAAAGATGTTGTCTCATCTCAGAAACATGGAATATGAGGATGCTCGGATTATCATTTATATTGCTTATTTATATTGCTTGCCTCATTCAGTGATTTACCGTGGATGCATGGCTTTTATTCATGGGTAAACACTGCCCCCAACGGACAAGTCTGGGTAACTAAATTATTATGAAGTGCACAGGATGTACATGTTTTACCAAGCAATATATGTATTTGTTCATGCACGCACAAACACAGACCTTGTCTCCCTTGGTTCCACTAAGACCCTGGGCTCCCGGAACACCAATTGGTCCTCTCTCTCCTTTGTTTCCCTGTTGAGAGACATTCGAATTTATACAGGAAAGTATAGCTGCAGCTGAAATGTGTTTACAGACAGAAGAAACGTAAAGAAGGAACTTACAGGCTTGCCGACTACACCCTGTGGCCCGGCTTCTCCCCGCTGGCCTCTGTCACCCTGTACAAATCAGATGAGTTGAGTATGTGTGGCTCACAGTCTCAGATTTAAGTGTTCTCGTGTAGCAATTGTGGATTTGTACCTTGGGTCCAGGAACTCCTTCCATACCAGCCTCACCAGGAACACCAGGCTCACCCTAGGAGAGGAGAAGAAGAAAGTACAACTATTAACCCTACAGAACAACAAAAGAGCACAACTGCAGTCAAACTAAATCCATTTCTTTGTGTTTATGTTTATGTGTTACCAGAGGTCCAGCGGCACCAGGCATGCCAACGTGGCCCCTAGGTCCAGTCTCGCCCTAAAGAAGGGAAGAACAAGGTGCACATTTTAAAAATGAAGACCTGAAGAATGCAATTACTTTAATATGATGTAATATGAGTTTTTAAAAGGCTTACCTTGTCTCCAGGTCCTCCCTTTGTCCCAGGACTGCCAGGCAATCCCTGCAGACAGAATTACAAAGACTGAAATTAGTGAAAATCAAAGTCTGGATCTTTGGTGGCCTAGGGGTAAAGATGCAAACCATATAGTTGCAATGTCCCTGGTTGCAGCTTGACTTCACTGTACACAAGCCAAAAAAGCCCAAAATGCCACAGGTAGTATTGGTAGTGGTTGGTAATAGTGCTGATACCTTAATAATAATAATAATATTAATAATACTAATAATTCTAATAATAAGAATAGATAGGCCAAGCTGGTGTGCCAGCTGTTGGCAGATACCTTGCAGCAATAGGTTTCCTTGCAGTGATTGTGTGTGTGTGTGTGTGTGTGTGTGTGTGTGTGTGTGTGTGTGTGTGTGTGTGTGTGTGTTTGTATGTGATGGTATATCACAGTAGGGTATAAGGCAGGGTAAGTTATGGTGTTTGAGTTTGCAGCAGTGTTGGTGTCACTGCAATGACCACACAGCAAAGTGTGCATCTCATGCTCCATTACCCCTTAGTCAGAAAGACGTGCACACAAACATAACCACACACACACACAAAGAGTGTACCCAGTGGTCTGATTGTGATGAATCGCTCGCAGTGGGAGAGAAAACGCTTTTTCAAGGTGGTTTAAATTCTAAAACAGCGTGGGTCACAGGGTCATTGTTAACCTGGATGAGTGCCCAGAAAACAAAACATACCAAGATTTACAGGCGGCTTCGCGCTGGTTTTCTCTGTCTGTGTTCTGGCTTTGTTGAATTAGGGAGGAGAACAGATTGACCCCCTACGTGGTCTGAGTGACAATACCCATTTACAGGCGGGCTTATTTGCATGGGCCTTCGGTGGCATTGCTGAACAATCCTCAAACAAACAGATTGCCCCAACCCCCACCCCCCCTCCACTATACTGAAGGATCACTCACCGCCGCTCCTTGAGGACCAGGAGCACCGGGCATCCCAGCCTGGCCAGGGCCGCCCTGCAGGAAAGAGAACAGAAGAAGAATAAATTGCCATCTTTTGCTGAGAGTGAACTGTCTCATCATTATCGTGGCTGGCAGCCCTTACCTTGATTCCAGGAATACCAGGTGTGCCATCTTTCCCATCAATACCCGGCAGACCCTGAAAAAGCAGGCAGATGAGTCAGTGGACTTCATTTGGCACACTCTTCTTAACACTGCTGCAACTGTGTAGCGCACAAACAAAAGTGCGTTCACTCACATTCTCTCCTTTTTTGCCAACCGCGCCCTGTGGGCCCTGGATGCCTCGGTTGCCCTGCGGAAGATAACCAAACCGGCGTCAGTGTATTTGCAATGCACATCAGGATCATTCAAGTTCTGAGACATGTTTCATCTTTTTTTGTCTTGTGCCACTGCTTTGACAACAACTTCAAGGGAAAAACACTAGAAGAGTCACCTACTTTGTCTCCCTTGTCTCCTGCCTCTCCGGGTGGTCCCTGAGGTCCCTCCTCACCCTGCAAACAACAGAGAGAGGCTTAGGTGTACAGTGGGTACTTGTTTTATATGAGTAATCAAGTCTGAGTGTGTTAGTGTGTTCTTACAGGAGGCCCAGGGATTCCTACAGGTCCGTTGATGCCCTTGTAACCACGAGGTCCCTGTGGGAAAACAAAAAAGTGCCATCAATCACTTCAGATCAGGGTGGATGCTAAGTCACGGTAGCCTACAATTCATTGTGATAAAGGGGTAATTAGCGCTTAACTCACTTCACTAATGGGAGCTACACAGAGAGCCAGCCACTCTTGCTTTGGCACTAAGCCGGGGCGCTAACTTGGCTAACGCGGCTAATGTTAACAGTAAGACGGATGGCTACAGCGGATCATTAACTACAGATGGAGGCACCGTGGACCCAGACAACCCCAACTCATTAGAGGAGGGGAGAGATTTGTGTTAGCATCATTTCCATATGTCCCCATTGCTGGTAATGGATGATGTTTGTATAGTGGGGGCAGGTCTGGCTGTGCCTCCTTGGTGCTCCTCTAAGAATGAGAACAGCCTTGTACCCAAAAAGAAAGAGGACAAAAAAAGTTATATATGTGATAAAAGAAGAGAAGTGGTGGTACTCACTGCTTCCCCTTTAGGCCCCATCATTCCTGGATAACCCCTCAGACCCATCGGACCCTTAGAGGGAAGCAAGGAAAAACAGGATGAGACAGAGACTGACCCACGACTAGACAAAGAGCCATTGCCACAACCTTATGTTCTGTCAAATCAACAGAATACCATGTGAAGACAATATTAGCCTATGCCAGCCTAACTTTGCCATACCGGAGGTCCTGGGATACCCTGCTCCCCAGAGATGCCCACTTCTCCCCTGGGACCCTGGTGAAGGAAAGGAAAGAGAACAGGCTGATTAGTTATTCTCTGTTACACAGCTGCCTGCTGCCAATCATTGCACATTCAAACGTCTTCAGGAAGCTGAAGGAGGTCTTGATTTTGTGTTGTGGAGTCTGACCCAAGGAACTCTGAGCTGGACGGACAATCCAATTGAAGCCAGTCTGTGATGGTTGCTGGTTGCTTTTGATGTCTAAACTGGTCTTGAATGGTCGTACACTGGTATGTTGCTGGTTAAATATCTAGCTTTTGGGAAATAATTAGGAATTCTTTCTGAGAGTTAGATGAGAAGATCAATAGAACTCACACTATTGACGAGAGACAGGTGGTGATTAGGTTAGCGACTAGCTACGAGCTAAGACCTCTAAAGCTTGCTTAAAACAATTTATTTGGAAGTTACTTGCTGTAACTATATTTTCATCAACTTTTATAACTATCAGGCAAGTGACTTCTTGGAGACTTGCTGTCACTACAAGGTAGCCGAACAACCAGTCAAAACTCTAGGAAGGCCAACAAGGCCACTGTTTAACTCCCTGTAGCTGGGATCCATGTTTTAGTCCAAACAACTAGTGGGGATGTGAACAGCTCGTGCTGGCTGTTTTTAAAGACGAAAATAGAGCAGCACCACAGTGCAATCTTGAGTCATGACAGGCCTTCTAAAATACTGATCTGCTTGGGAGGAGAGGTAACTGGGTGCGTTGAGTGTTTTGAGCATCTAAGGCTCCTTGTGTGGGAAGATCAGAGGCTAATTCCTGGGGCCTGGCTAGCCGCTCCCTTGGAGCCCAGTGTGTGCTCATTAGCTCTGCTTAATACATCGAGGTGAGAGGACTGCGTGAACCCTGACTCTCTCATCCTCCCCTTCATGTACCTGGCTCTTCACCACCCCTTTCATCTGGCTCGCTGCATGCTGACTACAGGGCCAGGGCCAGGCCTGACTAATCGCAGCCAGATTAGTGCCAGTCATGTGCCTCGGGGGGCTTCATTAGAGCTAATCCTTGCCTCGGCTGGTCCTGAATGGTGGGTGAGTGTGCAAGACTGTACAACATGTACATGCATGGTTGTGTGTATCCATTCTAGCAGATCGTGCAGCTCACCGATTTTCCAATGCTGCCAGGATCTCCGAGAACACCAGCACGTCCTTTGTGTCCCTAGAGGGCAACAATCAGTCAGTAAGGTGTCATGACTATTTTGTGATGCAACATAATCACTGATGCTGAAAGAAAAACCATGCTTATTCCTTCGGGGGCAACTTGAAACCTTCAGACAACTCACCTTGACTCCCTGCAGTCCCTGGGGGCCTTTAGGTCCTGCTGGACAGTTAAGAGGACACTGTTGTCGAAGGGAAGGAAAAACAGGATTATGAAGTGAAGTCAAAAAATGTTTCATTTGTCATCAGAGCATGCTGTAAGATCTTACCTGGAAGTCTGCACTGCCTTCTTCTCCACCAATAAACTTCCCTGGGGGTCCCTAGATGGACAGATGGGTGGACAGAGAGACAGATAGATGAAGAAAGTCACTTGGTCACAGTTGCCTCTACTCCCATGAGCTGAGCCAGCACTATCACTCTCTCTCTCTATCTATATATTTCTCCCTCCATCTTTCCTTCTCTCTGTTTATAGATTGAGTTAGAAAGTAAAGTATCTCTACAGGGAATGATGTATCCCTGCAACAGTCAGATGAGACAACCCACTGATCTAATGGGGGTTTATTTACCCTAGGACAGCACTAAAGCTAAACAAATACACTCCCCTGGGCTGCGAACATCACTCTCAATGAAGACACCTCCCCTTCTTGGAACCACTCAAAGATGCACACAGGAGAGTACATACGCCATTGGAAAACAGACTTGAAAGTGTACCGCTCAAAACTGTTTGTGGTATTTCACCACTTACTGTCTGCTGGGACCTGTACTAGCTGCAGTGAGCTCTGGCTGAGATATAGGTGCCTTGCAGTACATTTTAAAATGGAGTATGCTTCAGCATGGCATGAGTAGATGTGATGTGGAGTTTCTCTTTTCTTTACTTTTACACTGTGATCTCATTTCATTTTTTCATTTAAGTTAACTGCAATTAGATTGATGTAACTGTATACTTGATTAAGCCCAATGAGCTTCTGATAGCTCATTTATCTCTCACTCTGTTCACAGCTGTTCTCACCATTTGCACTGAAAAGGTATGAAAAGATTTACTGTCTCACTTAATGACATCAATTAGAGCTAGAGTGATATGATATTTGCGATATTAGCTTCTTGCAGATACATTGGTATCTGAATATATGTAGGCCAAAACAAGAAATTAGAGCAGATATGCCACTGATTTTTATTAAAGTAACAATTGCTTTGTTTGTCTACCAGTGAGACATTACAGGTTTATTTTTCAACAGTAAAACAGCATGAGTGAAAATACATATCATCAAAAATGTATTATTATTGATATATTTTATAAACTTTGAAATATTTATATCAGTATTAGTAGTTATTGTTATACTGTTATTTTTCTACCCCAACCAAATTTGTGAAAATGTGACCAGTGAGATGGAAGAAAATGATGAGGTCTGGTGGCACTTTTCACAGTATGTACAATATCTTCAGTGTACCCTGAGAAGATGGTAAGCTTGGATTTAGAATGGGTGGACAAAATAACAGGAAAAGCTGCACATTGTAATGCAACACAGGGGGTAGTGTGTGTTCTTAGATTGGGTTTTATGTTGTTACTGTAATGTATAACATGTACAGAGGATGTTCCTATTATTATATCCATCCCCATTACAGTACTCAGTAGCACTCCAACCTCTTGATCTTGGGTTTTCAAATTGTATATTAGCATTAAGATCATCTTTGTTCCACTACAAATAGATTACAGATAGATAATTCCTGGAAAACCAGTCCTGGGTGGACACTTACTGGCTTGCCAGGAGGTCCAGGAAGTCCTGGAGCTCCAGGTGGTCCCATGACACCCTAAATGAAGCAGAGGAAGGAAAGAAGCTGTAAATAAGAAGCTGAATATGTAAGGGTTCTGGCAGTGTAATAAACTGCTGGTATCCTACCTTTGGTCCATTCTGTCCAATTTCACCTGGAAGACCAATTGGTCCTGGAGCGCCCTAGACAGAGAGATGCAGAGAACAAGAGAGAACAATGTGTACACATCCCAGCAGCCACAAAATTATTTCCAGACCTCAAAGCAAAGCTATTAAGTGATAATTGTATTATATCATACAAGCTACTTACAGCCAGTCCTGGAAGGCCGGGTCCCTGTGTGGACATAAGGGATGAGGGGTTAAATTACTGTATAACAAGTGGAACCAATCCGTCAAAGTATCAATTAAGGTTTGCCAAAGCCAATTATTAATGGCAGCAGTAATTCAGTAATACATGTGTGTACAGTGTCAGCACGCAGGGTAAACAGTGCTCAAGAAGAACAAAGACACAGAATGCAATCAGTTTATGTTTGCTGTGTCTTTTGCTTGGAATTAATTATAAACAAAGTAATTAAGTAAGTAAGCTTTCACAGAGGAAGAACAGCCCACGGGGCAGGATCTCCTGTCTCTGCAGTGTGAGGCATCTGGGTGTACAAGCACAGCCCCCAGACAGGACGCCTGTTAATGCTAAACAAAGGATTTAACTAATAGTGTCGCATTCAAGCATGACATTGGATGACTCTGAACTTTATGTTTGAATATATTGGATGATGTCTGATAGATGGACACTGAGCACCCCCTGGTGGTTTTGGGCTGTGCTACAGTTGATCTGCTGGCATGCGTTAAGTTGCACTGCTGAACCGACTGGCCATGCATTGGCTCATGTGAAGAAAGTCAGTGGTTGCATTTGATGATTATATTTATATATATAATGTATGTTTACGCAGATAATAGTTTCTTCTTTATTATGGACTGTAAATAGGAATAAGGCTTATGTCAGCTGTAGAAGGCATATGCCACATCTGAGGAAAACAACACCCCAAAAGGGGGCACAGCTGGTCAGGCATTCAGGCATGAAGAAAAAGGGACTCGGGAGGTTGCCTCATGAGACCAGCTGGGTTACAATATGTTTGTTAGGAAACTGACTAGGCTTCAAACAATGCCTAATTCAGCACGTCATAACTCATTTTCATGAGTACCATGACAGCTGTTATCTAATTAGTCATATTGTACCTTAATATAGAGTAAGTACACTTACTCAAGTTCTGTACTTAAGAACAATTTTCAGGTATTTGTACTTAGCTTGAGAGCAGATGGAAATATTGTCCTTTTTTACTTTTCTAGATTAATCTATACAACTATAATCAACTATAATTACTATTTACTTTTCAGATTTTACAAAAAAAACCCCAAAACATATGATAAGATTATAAAAAATACAATGCATTAAAGATTACACTAGTGTTTCCCAACCTTTTTGGCTTGTGATGCCTTGCCATGTGTAATATGATTTGTTCGTAGTTCCACCAAAAATAGATTTCCCTTCTAAACTTCACAGATGGTTGTGTTTAAATAAGTGTTCAGTGTCCAAAAAGGCAAAACAAAACTAATCTAACTATTCCCAGACAAGCAAAAATTTAAATTACTCAATAGATAATCTCATGACCCCTCAGTTGTAGCTTGTGACTCAGCCTAACCTCCATGTTGGGAAACACTAGACTAAAGTGACTGCATATAATCAATTTAGAACTGCCTTAATCTCAACTAGCTACAACAGTAAAATGCTACTTTAACATTTATACATCAGTCAGAATTTTGATACATTTGCTGATAACACATAATTAGTTTTACTTAAGTCAGAGTTTGAATGCAGAGCCTTTACTTGTACTGTAGTAATTTTGCACTGTTGTAATGGTGTTTTTACTTAAATGGCCAGTGTGTAGGAATAAGTGGCATCTAGTGGTGAGATCGCAGATTGCAACCAACTGAAACTCCTTGACTAAACCGTGTGTGAAGGAGAAACTGTGGTGGCAGCAAAACTGGCAAAAAATGCAAATGGCACTTTCTAGAGCCAGTGTTTGATTTGTCTATTGTGGGCTACTGCAGAAACATGGCGGTTCAACATGGCAGACTCCGTAGAAAAGGAAACACCACCTCTGTAGTGGACCTTTAAGTACAGAATCTCAGTAGTTGTTCCACCTCTGTATACAGCATGATATTAACTGAAAAATACATCACATATTCATTCATCATACCTAGAAGCAAAACAAAGTGTTAGTAAATAAGTAGTTTACTCACAGGAGGTCCAGGTTCACCACTTGGTCCAGGTTGACCCTGCAGACAAGAAGACAACATTGAAATTAAGTATAGCAGTAAACATGTGTAGGCATGCTTACACAAATAAAGGAGGGACAATATACAATGTTCAATGTTACAGTGAAGGTAAAAGAACATTTTATTCTTCTATTCATTCTCCTGTAAGCATTGGTTCAGTGTCATGCTCAACATCACAATGACAAGATCAGGGGAACATGACCCTGAGACTTTTTTGTTATAAAACTGACCCTTGTGAAATAAGAAATCTGTTCTAAGGTTCTTTTCAGGTGGATGTTTATACACTTGCCTTAGGGCCAGGGCTCCCAATAGGACCTCGATCACCCTTTGCTCCAATCAAACCCTGGGGACAGACAGAAAGAGATGTTAGCAGGCAGATATGCTAGACATGTATACTGTAGAGATCAAAAAGGAGGTTAAAAAGACAATGATCAGTTACCACTGTGCTTTCCACAGAGTGTATGTGAGTTGGATTCCCCTTACAATGGGGCTAATCACACATTTGATCGACGTTGACACTGTTCTTGTAAGTAATTAGGGGGAAAAAGCAGAGATTGAGATTCCAGGGCGGATTACTTGCTAAATCTCTGAGGAATGCATGTGAGAGTGTGTGTGTGTGTGTGTGTGTGTGTGTGTGATTCTGTTAGCATGTGACCAAAAGCTGCGCCACAATTAATATCAGGTAAATCAATAACAAAGCCCCAGAGCTATAACATCCTTTTACACTCTTTAAACAGCTTGGTACCTGTGATTACTAGAGACTGAATACGTGTAATCAGTGAGGGATAATGGGTTTAACATAATGTATATTCATTTCAGTCATATCCTCATTTCTATGACTGAAGCAGTGAAATAAGCTTTAAAATCTAAATCACTGTGTTTTAGTTTAAACCCATAGTTAGGAGGTCAAGGGTCAGCTCTGCAGTGTCATGACAATATTTCCATCATTGGAAAATAAATACCCAGCCCACAGAGGGAAAGTCTGAATGCTTTAATATCAAAATAACTCAAAACGCAAACGTACAGTAGCCTGGTGTAGCTTAATTACCTTGTTTTCATTAAAAGTCTCTAATTGGAAAAAGGAGCTATGAGACATTACAATGATAGAGAAATGGTTTAAATATGACATTAAAGCTAAAAACAATGTGTTATTTTATAATAACTGAAAGTTACTCCATGTAGTTTTTATTACAGTTAAACAGTTTTGTTTGTATTCAACATATCTCATCCAAGCCCATTGTGCCCGTTTTCTGAAAAGGTCCTAAAGGTGCAATGTTTGAATTCACAACAGCCAGTAAGCTCACATGTATACAGCTGCATCTCCATGACAACCCGAGCTATCTATTGCTGATGAGGGCTGTGTGACACTACTGAAAGCTCAGGAAAAAGCTAGTACTGTAAGTGAACCTGAGAAAATTTTTTCTCTCCAGTCAGGAGAAATATGTATATGAGTATATCATGCATGCACTGGTGCAACAAGGGATAGAAACAACACAGGGACCATGGATGCTGCTCATCAAAACATTGCTCTACTATAGAGTACCTTTAAAATTTTGACCTCATTATTCTTCCTAGCTATTTGTTTTTTCATTGTCATATTATTCATGATAACCTACACTGACCCCTTTTTAGTTTTAATTCTGATGTTTAAGTTTAAAAAAATATATATACTTATTTTAATTCTAATAATAATTCTACTTGGGGCCCCGAAAAACGTTATAACATTTCATTTTTTTAATTCTACATATTTGCCAGTTTTTTTAATTTTTACAATATGACTTCATTGACAGTTTGCTAAATTGTTAAATTGTTAAATTCTGTGTCTGGCTCCCATTTTGCTGCTTTTCCTGAGGGATTTTTTCACATTTGTTACCTTGGTTAGTTTTTTTTTTTCTTTTCCTTATAAGCTGTTTTCACATTAAGCCTCTCAGAATGTTTCTTTTGGGAAGCACTTTTTGTTATAATTTTATTAGCATTTTCAAAGCCCTTTCTCTCTCTTTCTAGTACTCTTTGTCTCATTCTTTCTCTCTAACACACACCAATTACTGACATCAGTCAGTTTACTTACATCAATGCCGTTCTCTCCTGGTGCTCCATCAGGACCTGGCTCTCCTGGCTCTCCTTTTTGTCCCTACAATAAAAAAAATAAACTATTGTTAGGGGGGAAGAGGCCTGGACAAATCATACATTAAAATTGTTGTAATAAAAAATGTGCAAACAAACAAGTACAGTGCAAACTTACTGGTGGACCAGGGGGCCCAGGAGGTCCTTTATCTCCCTGCAGAGAGACAGAGTGGAGATGTTAACCCTTTTTATTCTGTATTTGTTAATATGTACATTTTAAACTAATTCAAAAAACTCTTAAAGAGCCTGTGTGTTTGAATAGTTACATGGGGTACATCATGAAAATGGGTCAAGTTGGTAAAGTTATCTTGCTAACGAGATGGTCATCATGACTCTGCATTAATAATGCAGAGACTGAATTCATTCATCATTCATGAAATTAATTAATATCATGTTCTTCCAGGCAGAGACATGTGTTCAAAGACTCCAGTGATTATGGTGTAAACAATCTTTAGATGACGTGTAGTTTTTTTTCTCCATCATGCTGATGCTCACCATTTCTGTGGCAGAAACCCAAAAAGGGAAAAGCCACAGTTTAAAAACTGGAGGGCAGGCTGCACCTTACAGTGTGGACCAAGAAACATTGCTCTTTTTCTTTGCAGTGGGGTTTGTTAGTGTGCTAACGTATCCCAGCTGCATTCTAGTGATAACCCAATGGTGGAAACTATAACTCAGCAAATCAGTCAGGCACAAGTGTAAATGCACAAAGAACATATCTGGGAAATGCATATAGTAAAGGTGGTACAGTAAAGTTTAAGACCATAGACTTTAGTTAATAGTTCAAACATATTCGCTGGTCTTAACAAATCAAACATCTAATCACGTCTGATTCTGTATCATAGAACAAACACCATGTTGTACAGGCAGCGTGCTTCCTGCTCCACTAGCCCAGCAGCCTCCATTTAACAACATCTTTACACAACCTGTGTGTAGTTAACCCCGAGAATATTTCAAATGTATCACATTACTGTGACACAAACTCAGGATTGAGGCAAGGGTCCCTTCTCAAAGACCCCTCTCTCTGCTTGAAACAGAGCTCTTTTGTGCCAGTGTGTTTTCATTTGCAGTGCCTTCTGCTGGTAAGACTGCAGTACTGCAGAGCAGCACAGGGTTGATATTTCTCCGGCACAATGATGGTCTTTGTGACAAATCTGCTGGGCAAACCTGTGTGGATACTCACATCAATGCCGTCTGACCCAGGGGTGCCAGAGGGGCCTGGTGGACCGGGCTGGCCCTGAGGTCCAGGTGGACCCCTCTGAAACACAGACAGAAAGACATTTTAAGTCAAGTAATGATAAACAACAGTAAACCCTAATCAAGTCTTATAATACTGTACAACTGTAAACAACAATATTATAAACTATAATATCCAGTGATACTGTAGGAGATAATACAAAAGGTATAATTACATTAAAACAAGCTCAAATATTTTCTTTATTGTGATATGATAGTGAAATTTAACCATTTGGAGTTAATAATTAAAAATAAGGTTTTAATCAAAGCTAATTCTTCATACTGTATCTTTTTATGTGCAAAATTGAATAAAAATATGCATGTTTAAAATCATGATTAATTAACCCAGTGTTGGAAAAACAGTATTGTTAAAGCATTCAAACATCCTCAGACAGATATGTAGGTGCTGTACATATTACTGGATACCAATCAATTGGGCAATTACAAATAATTCAGAAGTAGTAAATAACACATAAATAAACAGTAAAACAATGTTAGTTAACATGTCATATGATGCGGGGTAGACCTACATCAAATTGGTCAGTTCTGTACACGTTACTGCATTGTGTCTATTGGCATCAACTTGTATTAAACAACAACAAAAACACAAAAAATGAGCCAAAATAAAGAACAAATGGATAATACTGAATAAAAATGCTGCAGGAGAGGGGTAAAAACAAAGGACTGAGGAGGAATGTGGAAGGAGGGGTCATGAGACTGGCACTGTTTACCACCAACCCCCCCACCTCACCCCCCCCCATCCATCCCAATGTCTCCTCAGCCTGTTCTGAATATCATCTCAGTGGGTCAGTCCGTCAGGTGATAAAAATCATTTTGAATCCAACTTTTAATTCATCAAGTGTTCGAGAAAAACGTGTTAAATGTAAAAAAACAAAACAAGAATAATCCATAAGAGTGAGAACTGTTCGAGGTCCAGTAGATAACATGTAGGTGTCTGTTTGAATAGGGGCTTTCACACTGAGTGGACAGAACTTGTGTGTTTTATGTGTGTGTGTGTTTCTATGTGTGTCACAGCCCACAGATTTCCATCTCTGCCATGGGCGCTACATTTGGCCATGAAAAACTAAAAAATCTTCAACGTTTTTCTTCATTCTTTGATTGATAAAAATCTTCTTGGTCAAAAAATAAGTAACCCAGGTAATGGCAAAGCCTCGCCTTCAATAGCAACTCCTCAGTTAAATCTTCAGAAGAGATAAGGGTCCGTATGCGATAAGGACGATAATCCACAGAAGATAGTCCGGTTTCATTTTGTCTCCACAGCAGAAAACACATTTCAAGCTCATCTTTCTTTTACATACATGCTATAAAGCTAGATGGTCAGCACAAACAGATCTGTGTTGGTTCAAGCTCCAGTATTTCGATCAACTTAACCAGCACCAAGACAGCACACAACCTATAACATCACCTTAAGACATCCAGTGCCCTGTGGCCCTTTCCAGGGGCCCTTATTCCCACTGAACCCCAGAATAAAGGAGCTAAGCCTGTGCAGAGCAGGTCTCAATCTCCCCTGTCCACTCACCACTTGGGCCAGAGCCAGGCACAAGGTCTGCAGTATTACCCAGGTCTTCAGCAAGGCAGAGAGAGCAGCCATGGTCCCTCTCCCCTGTCTGTCTCTCCTCGGTTCACCAAATCCTCTCTTCTCGCTCCTCTTTCCGCTCCCTTACTCCTCTCCAGGCCGGCACAGTGCGGAACTGGTGGAGCAAAGCTGTCCGAGAGGAAAGAGGGGGGGGTGGTGGGTCTATGTGCACTGCCCCGAAAAAATCCACTCAGGAGGAAGGAGAGAGCTCAGAGTGGTGGGGGATGGATGGACGGATGAGGGTGGGGTAAGAGGTGTAGAGGGAAGAGAACAGAGAGAGAGGTGTAATCCTGGCCCACAGGTGGCCCCTGAAAGCAGAAGAAAAATACACTATGCACCCATCAACACGGTGGAAACACACACACACACACACACACCCACACACACACACACACACACACACACACACACACACACACCTATATATAGTTAAACACACACAGTATCACACCCCAGGTTTTTACATTAGATTTGGGGCAGGAGGGAACTCTCTGAATATGCAGAACAGGCACTGTGATTGGATGCTCGATGAATAATTAGCATATTTCTGCAAATTTCTGAAGCCAGTTGGTCTAAGAAGAAACCAAGCTCCTCCCAGAGCTGTGGGAGTGGACCAATGAATGAAATCTGGGTGTAACGCCAACTGTGTAAAACACCTAAACACGGGCCTTTAAATAACTCCCTGCCTCTGCTTCTGTCTCATCTTTGTTGTTTTTTTTTCTCACCCTGAGGCTATTATTTGCATGGAGGTGTAAATATCTGCAGTTATTTCCCGTGTGAGTATTGCACTGCATAGATGAGAGGAACTGGAGGATATAGGGATTCAATCAGGGAGGAACTCCCCTCTTTATGTTTTTGAGACCCATTCAAACTCAGTCATTTACTGACATCTAGTGGTCATTTTTACTAAGAGCAGGTGAGTTCCCACAGTAATCAAAAGTGGCTGTTTGAGACTGAATAAACAAAACTCATGGAAATGTGAAAAAAGACCTTATAGTGACCCCTGTTGTACAGTCACCACATTACAGCAAATACAGCATTTATCACTGTGTCCACTAGATGGCAGCAAATGCACATTAACAGAGCCACTGCTATTCTGCAGAGCAGCTTAGTTACTATGGAGGCCTCCACTGCTAAAACTGGGGATTATACATTTGTTCTCCTCAGGGATGGTAAAGACAGTGCTGAGGATGCTGAGAAGAGATGCCTTTATTAGTAAATTGAGATTTATTGCACACTACAGGAATTCTCAACAGACCCCATTAAATAAATTAGCAAACCAGCCAGGTGGTGGCCTCTCTACTGTATCTGTTTTGCACATTTTCACATACTACATTTATCACACTCACTAACTCAAAATTGTTACTGCCATTTTCATCCTTGGCACAAAAGCATTAAATAGTAATTAATTAAAAATTAACTATTGACGGGTGAACACTTATTTTCCTATGTTGTATTTATTAAAAACAGGTCATAGTCATTAATAAGAAGACACAATAGACTGAAATATGCAAGAATGCGGGGTGATTCTGAGCTCTTTTTGTATAATTCATATATTTTTCAACAACTTCAACATATGTTTTTTTCTTAGCCAACAGCCTTTGCAAATAGAAGGAGGTAAACCTGTTGGCTTGCTCTTGTTTGAAAGTAAGCAAATGCATTCGTATTTGAGAATTATTTGGAAAGTGTCGCAATCTTTGACAGTGAAAAACGTACAATAAATACTTTAACTTTCAGGAATGAATGGAAACAAACCAAATCACAGACATACCATAGAATATAAAGAAATTTCAATCCAACAGTCTGGTAAAGGTCTGTCTTTGTAATGCCTTTTTGTTTAAAAGGCGAGTAAAAGAGAGTAATTGCTTAAACTAATTTCTCAAGCCATCTTTCATCAACTATATGTTCTTATTGTACACTTAAGAAATCAGGTTGAACGTGTATGACAAGATTAGTGCTGTAGTATCCACAAAGAGTCCACCAAATCTGCATTTTGCAGGGACCACAAACAGGCACTGTTGATGGTCTTCTAATTCATTATGCTCTAGTGAACTGTGAAGTGTTTGCCTCAATGCCACTTCACTGACAAGTATGTTTCAAAAGTGACACTGTCAGCAAAGTTCTGCAAATCCAAATGACGAAACTGTACTTTCTTGTAATCCTTATGAGTCACTTCCTTCAAGCGGTTGAAAATTGCAACATCAAGCTTGGTTTAGATCCTATTAACCCTTCCATGCAGTATAGAATTGATCAAAGAGTTAAAAAAAGAGTCTTAAAAAATAGTTGATGCATGGATTTTAAAGCTTTAAATTGACAGAGCCAGGCTAACTGTCCCAGTCTGGCTTATGCCTGACTATATTAAACAGACAAATAAGAGTGGTATCAATCCTCTCTGCAAGGAAAGAAATAATTCCTCAAAACTATTTCTATCAAGTCACCTTCAGTGAATGAAAACTAACAAATTAGTCTTTTAGGCAGCTGTCTAATACATATATACGGAGCCTGCTTGCTACTGCTGCTCCGTTATTATGTGACAATCTGCCACAGTGCGCCAATCTTATTTGATTTAGCATTTTCACATCAAAATCTCACACACAAAACTGTATAAAACACTGTGAGAGCACATGCAAATCGCATTTCAGAAAATTGAGAGATCAAATGCACGGAACTACATCTATATCCAAAAACCTGCTGTGCTGATCTTCTCACGGGTGAAAACTGAAAAGACTCATCATCCAGTCTTTCTCATTATAAACCAATCCCCAGCCTCCTCATACTTCGAAAACAGACAAGGAAAACATTGGCCTCTCCCCATTTCCCTCAGAATCTTTCTGTCTCTTTTTCCCTGCTCATGTTTAAATTCTCTGGGGAATATGACTTAACTGTTATTTCTTTAAATGAAAGCAATCACATCTTGTTTCACGAGTGGATAGCAGATATCATAGCTTACTGAGAGATGCATGAGGCAACATGCCACCCAAATTCAACCAATACGTGATCAGCGCACATCCTCAGCTCATACACCCAACCCAGTTATTATCTGGCCTCCACACAAATGCACAAAAAAAGAACAAAGCAAGCACACACACACACACACACACACACACACACTTACACATGCTCATGCATTTAAGCGCCTAATTGAAATATTATGAGTGACCAGGGAGGTTTTAGTTCTGTGCTGGTATTCAGCTCTCAGCTCCCACTTTTTCCTGAGAAAGATCTGTTTCACACAGACAGGCTGTGTCCATTGCTGCTGTAATAAGACGCCTGAGAGAAGGGAAGAATGGAAGTCATCATTAAAGTCTGACGCAAAGACAGGAAGACACACACAAACACACACACCCACCGTATGACGATGACAGACAGGGTAAATATTATTCTTGAGTGCAGGTGTGAGGAGTAGCGGCACAGTGATAACAGAGGAGGTCATTAACAACCCAGCAGGGTGTGAGGCCGACCCCGGGCCTGTATTGTGTCAGGTCCTCCGTTGAAAAGACGTAGTTTAGAGTCAGAGCAGAGGGAGGAGAGGTACGTACTGACAGGCTGATGATGTACAGGCAGAGGATATTAGTCTGTCTGGTATAAAACATATTCATTAGGGTGTTTTGTGGTTATTCTCTCGCTGTGAAAATCGTTCCAGTCAGTCGGAGGCTAAAGCTTTTTTGACATGTAAAATCATTTGGGAATTCAGCAGATGAAGACATTTTGCGGTGTGATTTGGTTGTCGATCACAAAGCCAACAGTGCAGTGCATTATAGGGTGTGTGTGTGTGTATGTGATGTAAAGATAAATGCTCACACATGCCCTCAGACTTCCTTTCTTTTTTTCTTCAACGACATCATTCCTAAAAGTAAAATTCTTCGTCTATCTATGTGCGTCCCACTGTGAAACCACTTTGAAAGCACCAATCCTTGTAAGTGCCTTTAAGTCAGCATGAGTCAGATCCAGTTTCTCACCGAGGCCGGCCACCTGCGTTGAACCTGATGTAGTGGCAAGACCCAGCTGTACGTTGAGAACTGGCCAAGAGTCACAGGCTGACAATGCGATGACTGCTGCGGAGATGAAAAAAACACACCGTTTAGCAGCCACTGACCCCAGTCTGAGCTAGGTGAGGTGTTTCTAAGCAACAAAGCATGGCACACATTGCACGTCAGACCAAAAGCCCAGAGCTGCCTTCCACCACCACCGAAGATAAGGGATGAGAGCGAGGGGGGCAGCAGATTGTTGCTGTTGCTTTAATGTGTTTGCATTGGCTAACATGTAAGAATATTTCATGTTCTGACATTATTATGGTAGCTAGATACATTTTTATAGTTGTATCCTCCGCAAGTTTTCCCAGCCTCCCCTAAATTTGATTTAACTTTTCGGGCGCTGAAATGCTGTTTTCAGCGAACATAATTGGTGAAATATACTGGCCTGTGGAGGTGGTCTGGCATGGAGCTACGTGGTCTTTAAATCCTGTTTGAGCTCTTGGTGTGAGATTTCCAAACTTCAAACATCATAAATAACAGCAAATCCAAGTTATCACAATAGATGTGTTACAGATGTAAACTGGAAACTGTCAGATTATGTGTAAGTAATATTTTTTTGGAGGGGGGGGGGGTTATGGATTATGCTGCCACGTTGTACACATGTTGAGCTGGCCCACTCGTACGTGACCCTTAAAGGAACAGTTTGACATTTTGGGAAATACACTTATTTGCTTTACTGCCAAGAGTTAGATAAGGAGCGCCAGTTAGCTTAGCTTAAAGGAAACAGCAGGAGGAAACAGCTAGCCTGGCTCTGAACAAAGGTGACACATTCTGCCCTCCGACACCCCCGACACCTCCAATGGGAGCTAATTAACATATTTTAGAGGCGTTAGTAGGTGCTAAGTTAACTGCCTGCAGCTTCATATTTAGTGTGTAGATAAGAGAGTGCTATTCATCTTCTCATCCAACTTTATACACAAATTCTGTGTATTTGTATTATTATTGTATTATTGTCACATCAGCTATTTTTTATGTTTCATAAAATCTGAGGAATGTTGCTCAGTCTTTTTTCTTTTGAAAACGTTTGCTATCCTTGCACATCTAACATCTACTACAGCATAATAATGTCTCCTGTTCTGTCATGGCTTTGAATTTAAAAGATGCAATAAAGTATCAGACATTTTCTGTTCCTTACAAATATGTACTGTGGAGAAGCCAAACTCAGAACCAGTAAGCTAACCTTAACTCCCCTCTGCCCTGCTGT